GACTTAATGATTCATCAGCTGTGACTACATTCTGCCAAATTTTAAATTCAGCACGTAACTTACTAATTGTTTCATTCTGAATTTCATCAGACCATGCACTCATTGATTTCAATCGTAAATCTAATAAAGTAGTAACTAATCTAATATTTCTGAATCATGCCAATAATGCTAAAGAGAATTATAGATAACTCCCTGAACTTTTGAAATTATCATCTTTGATGAAGACGATTTTTGGCGATTAGTTATACTTCGAAGTTGATGCTTATGTGCAGTGAATTGTTGAATATTCATATCATTTTCAAAACTTTTATCATCAATATATTCATCATCTGATGAAATTTCATCTGAAAATTTATAAAAAAAGTTAAGTTTTAATTTTTAATTTATAAAATCAATAATTTGTTTATATTTACCTTTATCAATATTAATTTCATTACTATTGATAATTTTGTCTAATTCTTCTAATGTTAAAATATCACCATCAGCAAATTTAAATTTTAATACCTCAATACTTGAATTAATAACTGAAAGAGTAGTATACTGAATTCCACTAAAATAAGATGTCAATTTATCAAATGGTTTAAGTATATTTACTAATTCATTTAATAGCAACCATTCATGATCTTTGAGCATAAGACTTTTAGTTTATAAGAATCTTCTTTAGCACTATCTTCATTTTGTAAATATAGGGTTGCAACAAGCCATTCAATTGCCGGACATAAAATTAAAAGTCTTTTCCAAGATTGGTAAGTGGAGTTCCATCAAGTTTTTACATCATTAACATTATGTAAAATCTTAAATTCTGTTTCTTTAAATATTTCTAAATCATCATCATTTACTTCTATTTCATCTATTTCAGCTAAATCATTAATCTTATTACGTTAAACTAAATCAATTTGTGCTTGATCAAAACGTTGACTTTGTTTTGAAGATTTAAAAAATTTAACAAGCTTTCAGAACTGTTTGGTATATGGTTTAATTGCCTTTAAAGCTTGAATAACTGTAAGTTAAAGTGTATGTGCAAAGCAAGAAAGACGTTCTACACTATCCCAGATTCTAATAGCCTTTTCATATTTGCTCCATTATCAGTTATTGCACAAACTATTTTTCCAGCTAATCCAAATTCTTCAATTTTTTCATTTAAGTATTCTTTGATTCATTCACCTGTATGTGGGTATTCTATTTTTTCAACAGCTAATATTACATCATATATTTCAAAATTAGAAGATAACCAATGAAGAGTTACACCAATATATCTATCATTACTACGTGCTGTCCATAAATCTGTAGTTATAGACGTAGTTTCACAAGTAATAAAAATTAACTCCTTAAGTGCTAAAACATCTTTTTGATAAGCAATTGCAAGATCTTTTTTAATGCTTTTATTATTTGGCAATGTGAATGCAGGATCAAATTTTTGT